GTTGACATTTTTTGTTTACTGAAGTGGCAAATAGATTTATATCTGGGAAACCCCATCGGTTGAATATGTTGCCGAGGAGTGTATAGTCGAGTTCCCATTCATGCTCTTGTGGCAGAGCTCTGCTGAGGGCATCTGCCATTGAATTAAGGGCCCCAGGAAGATGGCAAGAGGATATGTGAATGTCTCTGGCTAGACACAAATTCCAAAGTGCTATAGCTTCCAGGCATAGTGTGAGAGATCGGGCACTGTCTTGCCTGTTTTATAGAACATGCATGCAGTGTTGTCTGTATCCCCGTGACATTGGGTAACAGTTGTTGGCATGCCAGGCGAACTGCCCTGAGTTCGAGGGCATTGATGTGGAGCATGCGGTCTGTTGGAGACCATAGGCCGTGTGCTGTGCGGCCTTCTGTATGGGCACCCCAACCCATAAGGGATGTGCCTGTAGTGACAATTACAGAGGGTTCCAGGGTTCAAAAGGGAATGCCTATGCATAGGTTGCATGATTTTGTCCACCAGTGTAGGGATGCTTTCACTGGTGTGGTAGTGTAATCATTTTGTTCATATGATGGACATGCGGCTTGTACTTGCATCAAAGCCAACCCTGGAGTCATCTCATAAAGAGACGTACATTTGGGGCCACAGGATAGCATGATGCCATATGACATAATAGTTGAAGGCAGTCGTGAACCCTTACTACTGGCATATCTTGAAGGGATTTTGCCAGTTGACTGATGCGAGTGAATCTGTCTCGGTAAAGAGGCTCTGGCTGTGATCAAATTGAGTTGAGCTCTGATGAATTGGATTGTTTGGGTTGGCATGAGTGTTGATTTGCCGTAATTTATTAGGAAGCCTAATGAGCGAAGGCAGGTTATCACAGTAATGGTATCTTGGTAACAGTCTTGACTTGTCCCTGCTTTGATAAGGCAATCATCTAAGTATGGGTAAATTGTGATTCCTTGCTTTTTGAGGTGAGCCGCAACAGCCGCTAGCATCTTTATGAGTACCCTTGGTGCAGTGCAGAGTCCAAAGGGCAGTACCATGTACTGGTAATGTTGGAGACCTAAAGTAAAATGGAGAAAACGTCTATGAGAGTGGCAAATGTATACATGAAAATATGCATCCCGCAGGTCAAGAGAAGAAAACCAGTCACCAGGCTCCAGAGCTGGGATAATAATATTTAGAGTGACCATTTTGAATTTTTGTTTCCTTATGTATTTATTTAGTAACCGAAGATCAAGGATCGGTCTCCAGCCACCTGTCTTCATTTCTACAAGAAAATAATGTGAGTAGAATCTGGTTCCGTGCAACTCTTGGGGCACTGGTTCTATGGCTCCTAATTCAAGAAAGTGGTCAACTTCTTGTTGTAATATGATTTCATGAGCGTGTGGAGAAATCCCTGTAATATTATCACTCTCATATAACTTTGTATTAAGATCTTGTCCTTTTAGATATATCTTAAGTGTTCGTACAGAATCTCTGTAACATTTCTCCTATAACTTTGTATTAAGAGAAACTTTCCTTGTAAGAAAAAAAATGTCTTTTGAGCTCTCCTCTTTTCTTGACTGTCCTGTTGAAATGAATGAGGTGTGAATGGAGAATGAAAGGTGAGCACCTCCAGCAGCAGTTGCAAGGGTGGAGAAAGTCTGGGAGCCAGATCCAAGACAATACCTGTAAAGTGAGCTCATTAAGAGGACTGGACAGACAGACCTCTTGGGAGTCAAGCAGCAAGTGCTTGCCCTTGGAAGAACTCTCTTTGAAGCAGCATTAAGAAAGGCAAGGTGATGACTAATTGGCTGCATAAGAGGGATAAATATGAGGCATCTTGCAGAGGGACCCCGGGTTTTCGTCTTGTCAACATGGGAGCATCGATCTGGATCGGCAGAAGCCTGGCTCCACCCGTTCCCCATCTAACTCATCTGGCCAGTAAGGGGGAGCAACTTTTGGTAACAAGAAGATGGAGTGTACTGTGTGTGTATGAGAGTGCATGAGTCTAATGTATCATATGCATATGATAAATATTGATTGATCTATGTATGTTCAATAAATGTGGCGTGTTGCCTTATCCCCCTGAAAAAGATCCCAGGTGCTTCTTTTAAGCACAACAAGAGGGGTCCCTGAAGAGGGACGGGGTGAGAGGTTGGGGAGGGGGAGGAAAGAGAAAAGGGATGGTATAACCTAGGGAGATAGCTTGAGTTACCCACTTATCAGTGGTAATAGATACTCAATTTGAACGGAAAGATAATAAGCAAAAAAGGAAAGGTTTAGAATGAATCTCAAGCTCTGATGCATGTGATTTAGTTTTACTTCTCTCAAGCACTGTTTCAAATTTGCTTTGCTGGGTTGGGATGAACGGTTGGGGTTATTAGTCTGAGGGCGACGCCTGTGCTCACTGCTGTGACCCCTTTGTTGGTATGGGGCCTAGTCTTGCCTCTGGTACTGGTAGGTGAATTGTGGGTACCCAAGTCTCTGATATGGTTGGTACCTCTGTCTGTCTCGTCATAGGGGTTTGGATACCGAGTGACTGCAATACGGCTCTGGACTCTTTCATCGATTGGAGTAGTTCGTTGGTCTGCAGAAAACAGTTTTTCTCCATCGAAGGGAAGGTCTTCTACCGATGACTGCACTTGGCGGGGGAAAGCGGAGAAGTTGAACCATGAAGCTCGTCTCATAGTGACTGCTGTTGCAGTAGTCCTTGTAGCTGTGTCTGCTGCATCAAGTGCAGCTTGCAGGGCTATCCGTGATATTATCTGGCCTGCTGAGCAAGAGCCTGAAACTGTGCCTTTTTACTGTCAGGGATATCTTCAATAAAAGTATTGAATTTTGTATAATTATTGAAGTTGTATTTACTTAATAAAGCAGCATAGTTCGCCACTCTCATCTGAAGAGTGGCTGAGGCATAAACCGTCTTTCCAAACATATCCAGGAGTTTATTGTCCTTTTCGGATGGGGTGGAACAATTATGTTGTTTGTTCCTCTACTGTGCAGCACCTAATATGAGGGAGTTGGGTGGGGGGGTGAGAAAAAAGGAATTGAGAACCGTTCAGGGGGGACATAATATTTTCAGTCAGTTTTCCTGCATGTCAGGGGAATAGATGCAGGTGTTTGCCATAGTGTTTTAGGGGGCTCCAGGATGGCTGGATTAATAGGGAGTGCCATCTTTGTTGCTGTACTGGGCTGAAGGATGTTAGTGAGTTCATGCTGAGAAAGCTGAACTTCTTCCATACATATATTTAAATCGATAGCAACTCTTTTAAATAATTATTGAAAAGAGGAGAGATAGTCGGAGTGACAGGTGGTAACAATGCCTGTTCCATGGTAGAGGTTGCGTTTGAATGTAATAGAGATGTAGAAGCCGACATAGGAGAGCAATGGCTTTCATTGTCAGTTCCCCTCATAGAGGTATGGGGTGACAGGTTTAAGGGAGAGCAGGGCTTTGCTATATGCTTGGTCTTACATGGTTTCTTTTTATATTGTTGAGGTGGTTGATTGAACATTTCCCACTGTGGGGGGCAAAGCATAGGCCCTGGCATCCAAAAATAAGAAGCCCAGGGAGCCACTTGTGCTCTAAAAAAGTCCTGTTGTTGCTGATAAGCAGACCATATAGAGCCCTCCATATACGACTGAGGTGAAAAAGCAGGTAAGCACTCTTCCTCGTCCTCAGAGAGGGCAGAGGAGAAGTCAGAATAATCAGAAAATGGAGACTGAGGATGTATGTTATCAGTTAAATTATGCGACTGTGAAGTGGGGGAAATTGCCAGGTCTTTCTGACTAATGAGGGGAGTATACAGCTCTGTTAATGGTAAACAATTTGCCCCCCCCCTCCTCTGAGGTGTTGCCCCTGGTAACGGGAGAGGGGGGCCAGCACCCAGCAGTTGGTCTGTGAGGGGATTCCTCAATGCTGTGCTAGGAGCAGGAAGAGCTCCTATAGCTGGTGAGAGGGCAAGCGGGGAGACCTGTTGCCTCAGTAAGGGCAGCCTTTTTTACATTTTTATTGCCCTTTTTGCACTCAGCATGCCGCTTTCTGGGCTACTGGTTCAGAGAGCTCACCCCTGTCTTTGATGGCTTAGGGGACGTTTGCCTCATAGGTGTATTGCTCAGACCCGAGCCCAGGTCAGTGCTATTGTGTCTGTCCTTGTCACAATAGGACATTTTAATTCGTAGCTCTCTGTCTTTATGTGCTTTCAGCTTAGCACAGTGGGAGACAGGCATTGAGTTCTTGCAGAGCCCCATCCCAAAAACAAGCAAACAATAACCAGCACATATTCAAAAGACTGACATTTAAGCAACTGAATAAAGTCCATTTGTAAATACAGCATGGTCCCAAAGGCGGAGGTCTGGTTGCCGGAACTGTCTTTACAGGTTTACCCACATTGTGGGCTTGGCAGACAGTAATCTTTGGCTGCTTGGGAGAATTTGGGAGCAAACCAATTTTGTTTTAAGGTTGCTACCATCCCCCCTTCGCTAACGTGCGACAATCCATGGAGCACAGAGGCAAGGTGAGCTTGTGATTGGACCTTGCTGGTGTTGCCTGTCTCTTTGCAGTCAGACAACGAACCGAGCCATCTGGGTTCGAGTCCGCGACAGAAGTCTTTGTAGAGCAGGAGAGTTCCATCTGAAGCCGGGGGCGGAAAGGAACTGAAGGGAGGGGGGCTGTGCATGCGTGATAGTACTTAGGAAGGCTCACGCGCGCTGCGCATACACAGCCTCCGATACATTGCTGAGAGAAAAATCCGTCAGGAAGCGTTGGGACGCTCAACACCTTATGTGGGGCACCCCCAGGGACGCTTCTCAACAAAGAACTCTGTGTCATCTCCTAAGATAATAATCCATTTCTACATTAGAATTTCAACTACTTCCCATCTAAGTATTCAACTCCACATCAACTGCTGCAGTGCTTGAGGGCAGCAAGACAAGGGTCAGTCTCAGTTTATGGTGTGCAGGTGACCTCCAATACTCAGTCAGAAGAGACATTTAGCCCAGCTATTATCCCTCTCCCCAGCAGCTTTGTGAGAAAACACCAAAATTCGCTTTTGCAACAGATGAGCCTCTAATCCTCCATAATACTCACCTTCTAGAGTATAAATATCCCGCCCCCAAGGGTACTTTGTGTATTTCTTCAGGTCTTCATCAGTTCGTGTGGCTTCAGGGAAGAATTCATATTTAATAAGTTCTCTGGAGATAGGAAAGAAGAAAGTTCAGGTGGCAGTAACAGGAAATGTTAGAAAAAGGGACAGGAATCACATTGGAAATCCTGAAATAACATGACCTTTGATTTAATAGGGCTGAACCTATAAAAACTCACGGTGAAGATATGCAATCCCTTTGCTCTTGAGTGCAACTACATGTGACGTAGGGGGTTAGACAAAAGACAATATCTATGTGTGCTGCATGTAAGACGCCACCTGTTTTAGTGAATTATCCCTTAGAGTTGATAAATTCTCTTTTTATTCTTGCCAAGGAAATGTTAAAAGAAAGGTAACCTGATCTGAAACGGTGGGCAGGTGTTGTTATGTCTAATGTCCTGTTGCTGGCAGCCTTACAGTATTGCAGTGGTGTTGAAAACTGCACATTATTTCTATTCCACCCACCTAAACAACATTTCTTTTAAATAGCCTCAGTCAGTCCCTCCCACCCCCAGCATTCTATAGGTCCAAAACATTATAGTTTGCAATTGTATTAATGCAGTATTTGATAGGGGTACAGAATATAATTCCCCCCCCCCGCTCTTCAATTACACAATAGGGAGCTCACATGCCAGGGCACCCCTTTATCATTTATCACTATGATGTGCTAAATCTGTATTAGCCTATTGGCTCAGCACATTCTTCACACATCCACTGAAAGATGGGTACTCACTGGTTAATGTTTGCTATTGTGTCCATCCAGCTGCGAATGCGCACCTTGTTGCGGACGTTAGGAGGATTGCTGAATTCATGAATTATGCAAATGTGGTATGGGTAAGGACCACTAAATATCTTTTGTTCTAGAGTTAATGTGTCGACCTGTGGAAAAAGTCAGATAGGAACTTACAACCATAAGGTGATTTTAGAGTCAGCAGCATATATCTAACCAATATTCCCCACTTTAGGGGAAAGCAAAGTATTGGGAGAAAAAACAGGAATGTTAGCAAAGAGTTAACATTTTACGGAAGACCCACTATATAACTTGCATAGTACAACTCTGCTAGTGCACCTTATTGGGGATGTTAAATTTTGATTAATCAACTAATTGAGTAGACGACGGAATTTCCATTGGCTAACTGATTAGTCAATAAAGGGGGCGCTATCTATCTTGCTGAGACTCTGCCTTTGAAATATATAAGAGCTGCATCTGGCTTTTGTACATTTCAAAGGGAGAGGCGCAGCAGTTGGGACCAGAGCAAGCGGGGGCTGTTTCAGTCCCTACTCGCACCATTTCCCCTGCTGTGCCTCTGCCTCCCTTGCCCCACAGTGGAGATGATGTTGGGAGGAACTGGCTTTTAAGCTGGCACCTGCTTACCCACCCTGGATGCCTGATACCTCAGAGGCAGCAAAGGGGGGGAGGAACTAATCTGGTAGTGACTCGACTACCCGATAAGCCTAGATTTATCGGGTAGCCAACTAGACGCTTACATCCCTACACTTTACACTGCACTGTAGGACTGTAGGAAATAAATCAGTAAAATTGTCTGATTTTGTACCTGCAGATTACTAGTTTAGTTAACGTAGTGGCCAACGATGGCTTCATTCCTAAGAAACTGACCCTGGCATAAGGTGTTTTAAACAACCCACAATGTTACCATTGCGCCCCGCTGCGACCAAGAACTGGATTGCAAACAGTGATCTAGTTTTTCAAAATATAGGTATCTGCACTAATCAATATACTGTACCATTATTCCTATACCATAGAGAAGAGGGAACATTATTGGACATTCAGAGACCTCCTGCTAAACAAGCAACGTGATTTCCTCAACTTATCAAAGAACTAGTTCTGAGTTCTAGTCTTAGCGTTGCTATTTATTCACTCTATTACCTTGAGCAAGTCACTTAACTTCCCTGTGTCTGGTTTTCCCACATGGAACTACCACCACTTTAACTACCCTCACAATACTGGCAGATCGATTAAAGTTTGCTTTGATGATATAAAACAGTATATAAATGCTAAGTGGAAATACTGAACTTGACATAGTAGTCACCAAACTATTCCAGACACATATGGCCGATGGTATACTTCCCGCCATGAATAAAAACAACTATGCAACTATATAAATAGTAGTCTCTGAGGAGTAGCCATGTTAGTCTGTAAATGAAAAAAATTAAAAAAGAACGTATGGCCCTGCAGCACCTTAGAGACTAACAAAAAATGTAGATACAGCCTGGATCTCTCTGGTCTGGCACCCTTGGGACCTGACAGTCCTGAACAAGGAAATTTGCTGGACCAGGGGAGGTCATCTGATACTGGCCCCCCAACCTGCCTCCCCTCCCCGCAGCCAGCCCTAGCAGCCTGGAGTACTGCATTTCTAGACCTCCCGGGGCTGCTGCTTCCCTGGCTCTGCTACTGGGGCTGCCACAGGCCTGGCTCTGCTACCGGGGCTCCAGCCCTGGTCCCAGCCCCAGCACTTCTGGGCTCCGAGCCACCTGCCCTCTTGCTACTGGGGCTCCCAGCCAGGACTCCCTGGTCCAGGAACATCTGAGGTCCTGCCGGACCATGGTTGTTGCGGGATAAGGGAGCCCTAGTATTTGGAGGTCCAACATGTAATATTATGAGCTTTTATGGGCACTTACAGCCCATTCTGTTAGCTTCATTCACTCTATTTGACAAAGATTTTTGTTTCTTTTCTTTCCCTCCACATCTCCCCTCTTTTTCTACTATTTACTTATACCTCTGTATAAGGCTGGCTCCATTCATCTGAAGAAGGGGGTTGTGTCCACAAAAGCTCATATATGATCTACATTTTTTTTGGTCTCTAAGGAACATTTGTTGTTTTTTAAAGTTTTTTATATAAATAGCAGTTTTGTTTTTATAGTATATTATGCAAATCCTAATTATGTGGTACAGCATTAATTCAGTACCTTACTTAATTGACTTACAGTTTTCTAATGCAATGAACTTAGCCTTGGAGACAGTATTTAACAGTAATAAATTCATTATCCTGCAATGAAAGCATTATAAAGGAAAAAAGCTGATGGTGGAATGGTATTAGGAGAATTACTTTCCCTTTAATGTTCACATTTGTTTATCTTGCAGTAAGCAGAAATAATAAAGTAAGCATAGATGAGAGAATAAAAGTAGTTTCAAAGTTTGTCTTGGTTAAATGAAAGCTGATTGGGTACCTGCTGCATTGGACGAAGGTAAATGATCCGGTTTCTCTCTGGTGGCATCCTCAATATCTGATCTAGTACCTGATCCATGTTTAATTTCTTGCACTGGGCATAATCAAATCGATTGACAATTGGAGCATTCTCTACTTTTAAATGCTTAAGTACACGGCATCTCGTAGCTACAAATTACAAATGAATAAAACTATAAAAGCAGCAGCAAAAAAGATATTACATAATTTTTCTAAGGGGATCTCAAAAAGCAGACTGGTCTCTAAGACAAATGAGTCATATATTTGTAAAGATCAGTTACTAAATTGTGTGCGCACAGTTAATAGCTTTAATAAAAACATTGATTTTTGAGCAATCTACCTCTAATCATGGCATCACATCATGACCTGTGTTATGGAGCATGGCAAAGTATTATATATTGGGATAATATAGTTATCCTCCTCCATGCTGTCATGTCCGGATCATCAGTATTTAGTTGATTAGTTAAAATAAAATGTGTGCTTTGATTGGCCTGGTGGGATAAACCTAATCTCTGAAATCAAACACTTTCCAGTTTTATACAACTTCATGAAGACAGGTGAGAAAAATACCAATTCAGACACAACAACACTGTTGGGGTACGTCTACGCAGCATGCTTATTTTGAAATAAGCTATTTCATAATTTTTTTTCCAAAATAGCTTATTTTGAAATACCACATCTACACTACACTCAAAATTAGTCTGAGGCAGGCTTCCTTAATGTGGATGTGCTACCTCAATTTAGAACCCTGGAAGAGACTGGGAAGTAACTACTTTGAATGGCCCTCGGGAGGAGCTATTTCAAAATAGCAGCAGTGGAGCGTCCACACTACTGCTATTCCAAAATAGCAATTTCAAAATAATGTAATTGCTGTGTAGGTGCTCACATTGTTATTTTGAAATATTGGCCATTATTTCAAAATAACTGCGCTTTTTAGACGCACCCTTTACTGACTTCGGATATTTCAGGAAACAGCATAATTGACCTCTTGATTTAGAGAGAACTAATCAGACAAGACTGGAATGCAGCATACAGTACACTTAAAGTGCCATTAGTCAATACAGATTTTCATCATTCATCAGCTCTTTAAGATGGAAACAACATTGTGTCAGATAAATAACAGTAGGGAGAGCCAGAGGAAGGAAGAACTTAGAAACTGAGAAGCCATGATATGCATCACTATGCCTCCTACGCTACTTAATGTTCTGAATAAAACTGCTTAGTTGCTGATAAACTCAAAGGTTGGTAGGTAGCACCTAAGAGAATGTTTTAAAATGACTCCACTATTCAGTGTTGATGGAAAAGGTGGCAAGCTCTTGGGGAAACTCAGAATGGAAGACTTGGCTGGGCTATGAGTCCCAGCGACACTAACAACATACCATGGATGAACATCATTTTGGGGCAATCTTTCAAGATCAGGTCTGTTATTCCACAATTGGTCAATGTAATTCCAACAAGGTTTTTGGATTTCAAAGTCAGCACCTGGTGAAGATTAAAAAAAAATAATTCACAGGATGGGATTAATACAAAATTAATTTAAAGGGATTAAGCATGAACAGAAACAAAAAATCCTGCCAAAAAAGAAAAAGCAGTTCTGCTGTAAATATGCTGGGAGAAAATTCATTCTGGGATGCTCTCCAATGTGATAAAGGACTCTGCCCAGAACAGGCTGGTGAGAGAAAAGCTAGATTTGTGCTGCTGATCACTACTAATATGAAGTAAGTTTAAAATAAGTTATTTTTTTCAGACCCATAGTGTCCATACACAATTACCACCAGCAGCAGTGACTTGATAGAAAATGCCTCAAGTTCCCTATTACCAAAAATCTTATTGATTATGAGAGATAATTCAGTCTAAAAACCCATTTGTGCTGTAGAGACATTCTAAATAAGAGGCTGACTTGGGATTGACAGTTCTGGAGACTTATTACACTGCCTTTCATTAAGGTGCTTATAAGAGGAAAAACTTTCAGATGGAGAGTAGGCATGTCAGATAGAAGTTAACTGAACAGTGGTCTAACCACATCAAATTGTGGCGGTTACACTACTATTGGGTAGTCCCCAGAGGCGGGGCCAGCAGCCAGTAAATTCCTAGCCTCACACTCGGGGAGCCCCCTACTACAGCATGCTGCTGCCTCTCTATTAGAGGCAACAGCATGGGGTGGCAACAGCCCCTGTCCACAGGAGTCAAAGCTCCCTGTGGCAGTGACTGCTCTGCTGCAGCAGCCCCTGTCAGCGGGGAGCTCGGACAGGAACTGCTGCTGTGGAGCAGCCTCTGTCCACAGCAGGCCCAGGCTCCCCCAAACACCATCTCCACAGGGGCCAGGGAAGGTAGAGACACAGCAGAAACAGCATGAGCAGGCACTGAAGCAGTTTCCGCTTGCACCACTTCTGCTGCGAAATGTACAAAGGAGCCCCAGCGAGCCCCATGCTCCCTACAGGGCTTCCTTTCAAAATGTACAAGAGCCCTGCTGGAGCTCTGGTACATTTCAAAGGCTGAGGCACTGCAGGGAGCCCAGGGCCGGCAGGTGAGCCACTGGGGCTCTTGTACATTTCAAAAGGAAGCCCTACACTTCCTGCGGGGCTTGCGCTTTTGAACAGTAGCAAGAGCTAGGCAGGGCTCTTGCTACAGTTCAAAGGCGGAGGCACCCTTACAGACTAATCAAATAGTTGATGAAAATTCCATCGACTATTCAATTAGTTAACTAATCTAAATTTAACATCCCTGGTTGAAACTAGGGATGTTAAATTGCAGATAATCAGCTAATTGAGAAGTCGATGGAATTTCCATTGATTATTGGATTAGTCGATAAGAGGGATTGGGGCTCACTACCTCCACTGCAGAGCTGCAGCAGGGTTAACTCCCAGGGGCAGCAAGAGCCGGGACTAAACAGTACTGGCTTGTACCGCCTCCGGGAGCAAACCTCACTGCGACTCTGCCTTTTGTAGTGAGAACTGCCTGGTTATTACTACATTTAAAAGGCAGAGGCATAATATGAACACTCCTGCCTTTTAAAAATAGTAAGAGCCAAGCAGCTCTTATTACATTTAAAGGGCACAGCCATTGTGCCACTGAACTTCTGCCTCCCCTGCCCCACTCCCCACCACGGAGATGGTGCTGGGGGGAACTGGCTTTCAAGTCGGCTCCCCCCAGCACCAACTCCTGCTTCTCCCCATCCCCTTGCTGCCTCTGACATGGAGGCAGCAAGGAGGCGTGGGGAAATGCATGTAGTCGACTTGACTACTCTAGGCTTATCGGGCAGTCAACTATTTAACTACTCTTTTACATCCCTAGTCTACACAACACACCAGAGTCAGAGACGTATAGTGTACACGTCTGTGTCCACACAACAGGGTGTAGCCTGTGCAATGATGGGACTCAGACAGCTCAGTAAAGCTTCAGCAGCTCCCTAATGCCGTAGCCATTCACTACAGCAAGGAAAGGTTCTGGCAGGAGTGAGATGCTGGGGGGAAACAGAAGGAAGCTGCTTCTGTTTTCCCAAGAGCAGGGAAGGCTCTGGCTGCAGGGAGCTGGTGGAGATTTTCCCCATTGCCTCAATCTCTCCCTGTGGCTGGAAAAGGCTCCCACGGTGGGGATCTGCCCAAGGTCTTCCCCATTGCTGCAGTTTTATTCTGCAGCAGGGACAGACTCCAGCTGAGGGGAGGAAGCTGAACACTAAACTGCTAAAAACAGCAATATAAATGGGGAGACACAGCTGTGACGAATAGAGCACCATGTAGGGTACACACTCGTGTACTTGCCTTCACCCCTCAGATATGACTTTACTTGACTAAGCTGTGCCTCACCATCTACCCTGCTATTTATACCTGTGCTAAGGGGGCTGAATATATATACTACATGCTGCACTACAAGCAAGGAGTATAGATGCATTCTTAAGCTACATCTTTGCAGCAAAGTTAACTCAAGATTATGTATACTCAGTTTACTCTTTAAGTTAGCCTAGGTTGAGTAACAACAGTCACACTACAAAACTACAGTCAAGTTACTGTGTCACACCTGGTACTGCACCCATTTGTAGGCAGTGCTGTCCCACGGTTCTTAGTGCTGCAGTAAACTGAGCTGTTCTATGAATGCTTTCCCAGGGATTTGCGGGAGAACTTGACTAGCCTTTCTGGGCATATGGGAGGAATTGTGGGAAAACACTCTATCCTGAGTCCAACTACAAAGTAATTGTGTGGGCAGTTGATGAGTTGCCTTAACTTGAGCTTTGGTGTATACTCCCTCTCAGGCCAGACCGCTCAAGTTATAAACGCCATGGCCCTTGAGTTAATGCTTTGCATGTGCTGATGTAACTTGAGACAGGAACAAAATTCAACTCATAATGTGTGGTTTGCAGTAACGATAAGCATGCAGTCAGTCATATGTTCATAAAGACTGTTGGCTGGAAACATGAAGAAAGTGGCCTCACCTGAACATGGTCATCCTCAATAACAGGGTCACTTGTGCTTGTTGACTTGTCAGCTGTCCTTTTCCGCTTCATTGTTTGTCGAGGCTTTGGCTTGGCCACATCTAGAAAAAACAAAAAGGAAAAATTGAAGTACAATTGGCAGAAGAAGGAACAATGGTCTCAAGTTGCAGTGGGGGAGGTCTAGGTTGGATATTAGGAAAAACTATTTCACTAGGAGGGTGGTGAAGTACTTGAATGGGTTACCTAGGGAGGTGGTGGAATCTCCATCCCTAGAGGTTTTTAAGTGTCGGCTTGACAAAGCCCTGGCTGGGATGATTTACTTGGGGTTGGTCCTGCTTTGGGCAGGGGGCTGGACTCAATGAGCTCCTGAGGTCTCTTCCAGCCCTATGATTCTATGAATTGGCATTCAAACTTTAAGTGAGTCCCTTTGAGCCTGTAGCCTTCAGATCCTCTTCTGGAATACCCATACTTGTGGAAGATGAAATATGAATATGAAAACATTTACTTTACTATTGGATTAAGCAATTCATTGCACATGTGTATCATCATCCAGTGCGATTTCATGACAGTACGTATAGCAAATATCACCATGGATATATGCCCTTATTATTATACAAGAAAAATATCACAAATGTATGCTGAATTGTATACAGTACAGCCCCGGCAAAGACCTCTTCTTAAAAGGGATTAACATGAATATAATTCCAAAATGCTTCCCTTGGCTATAAATTAAATCTAAGACAAGTTTAAAATAAAATGCTTATTTAAATGACAAAACCAGTTTTGCTTGATGCTTTTTACTGTAATTAATCATACACATCAATAGTTCTTTCCCTTTTTGCCAACTTATCTGCTAAGTCATTTTTTATTATTATTTCACTCCATACCATGTTAAGCATCAGAAAAAGTGAAAATTTAGATGTCTGAGATAATGTGAAACAATTATTCAAGACAAATAACTACATACATTTCACCATCATAAATAAAAGTTTGTTACAGAAGCCTCAAAAAACAAAATAACCCACCAATGTCACTTTGTTCTGGAACTCACAGGCAAAACAATAGAGAGCCATGAAACTCACTGCATTTGTTCAAACCAAAGACAGGAAAATTTCTTTAGTTCTTTAACAAACCCATTTGAAGTTTTGCATTGAATGTAAATGAATATTAACATCCCAGCATTGGGGGAATGGAAGAAAGGGGAAGTGGATTTTAGTGGCTAGACAGATGGAGCCGCACTGATTCTATATATCCAGGCATACATATAGCATGAATCTGGGCTTGGACTTGGACCACATCGGACTAGGAGTCTGCCTCCATTAGTCAACACATGCAGGAAAATGTTGCACAATTACGTACATGTGCACTCACTTCTGCAGGGGTTGGAGGGGAGGAGTGGAAGAGAGAAATACTTTCTAACTTCTGCATGTAATCAGTTTATGTCCTAAAATATGAAGTCTGAAGACACTTGACATGCAGCTGAAATAAACCCTTTCCTTAGCTGAGACAGGAGAGCAGCGTGATTTTCAGGAAGACCTGTCTGGCATGCATACAAGGCACTATATTATTCCTTTAATGGTTTCATTCCATTACTATTAATAATGGATCGAGCTAAAAAACAGAAAATTCAAAATGAATATCAGGATAATATTTTAAATCTGAGATATATTTTGCAATGGAATAGCCTCCTAAACAAATTGATTTAAGCTTCATCAGCACTTGGGATATTGCACTTGACTGGATAAACACCCAAAAATGTACTGTAGAAATCAATCCTACTTTGGTAGAGATATGGATTTGATGATTGAATATTTTTTCTAACTCCACTATGATTCTGTTTAATGAGAAATGCATTTTTCTAGTCCCTTATTAATGCCTCAACAATTTGAAGTGGGATTCACCATGTAGATGTGTGTTTGTACACTACTATGGTTGAGTGATAATCATTTTGCCTTACGGCTGATAAATTATCACAATTATTGCAATCATCTTTTTTCCTCTGAAAAGGAGGAGAGCACCTCTCCCTTCTCCCTCCCAAAAGTAATTCTTGAACAGAGGAGCAATTCTTATGTTCCGCTGAATAATAGCTTATAAAGACAGAAACAGCAAGATGAGTTATCAAAAAACATTGTTTTTCAAAACAGTAAATCAATCGGTCCAATCTTACCATAGATGCATGACACACGTGATAACATGAGAGAAGATGGAGATCATGGTCACACAGAGAGATGTGTATGAACATAAGCAGCTACAAACTGATATATCCATACCTTTAGTTCCTACTGGCTCTTCTGTCAATTAATAAAACGTTTGATTTACAAACAAGAAAAAGTACTGTGTTATTAATGTATGGATAGTATTTGATAGTTGTAGCTTTAGTATGAAACAGTAACTCTGAAGTAAAAATACACAAGTGTAGGTCATACCTGATTCAGACAACAGAGGTACATGGGACAGTTTGCTTCTGGCTCTTGTTAGAGGACGGCGGGGATAATCTTCATTATACTCCATTTCATAGCTTCCTAGTTGTGAGCCAGTGCTCTCCTCCCCCGTATTCCCACAGACATTCCCATTAGTCCTCTCAGAATTTGCCTCTCCTGGACACCCAGAGTTTGGCAGCGTCCTAAGTGAGAAATCTGACCCAGTACTATTCGGTCCATTCCTACTGCAGACACCACTAGTAGATGGGCTTTCCAAATCAGAGCACCCACTAGTCCTCCTTTGTGGCTCCTGCTGCCTACAGGAAGAGCACCTGGAGCAAATAGAACCATCCTCATTGTCTCTCTCATTGGAACTTTCACCCCTACTAGGGGAGCAGACACACTGTCGGGATTCATCTGCAATTGCTGGACTGGTGGCAGCAGAGTGGCTATCAGCTGTCCTTGCACAGTCAGGGCTCGAGGAAACAGCACTGCAAGAGTTGGAGGTCCCCATTGATCCAGCTGCATTAACGCAACTGGAGTAAGAATCTTTGCTTTTGTTCCTTTCAGGCATGTCACTGGCTGCTTTCATATCTGCTTTAATCTGTTCACTGGTCACTTGACAACCTTTCTCACAGCTGCTCTCCTCAGCATGGAATTGCTTCGCTTGACCCACTTGGCTGGCACTGCACCTCTTCCGCAATGGAGTCTTGCCTTTACCACTCACTGCTGATAAAGTAATATAAGCATGAAAAACAATAAAGCAAGCTAACTCTGAACACCACCACCTGAAAATGGAGACCGCCGGGAGTTCAGCAACAGAGGTTGCAGGGAGATGAGTGAGGAACCAATATTTAAATTAGGACCTATTCTAAAGTGGTAGGAAGTTAACACTTAGCCCATCAGCAGATGAATCTCTCTAATGTCCTGAAGCTGCTCATCTGAACTGACATACCAGGGGATACACATTGCTTGACGTGCCTACTGCTTTCTGGAAACAGCTCACTAGTTACAAATGTCAATGTGCAAGAATGTGATATGGGAATATATTTGTAACAAGTCTTAGTTCTCTTGAAAATAAGGGATTAAATGACAATTTAGAACTGACAGTGCTTCAGAACTTTCAAAGCACTGTCCAATCATTAATTTATACATCTACAGGTGATGTAAGGTAGAGAAGTTTTATTCCCATATTATAAATGGTTAGACACAGTGAGTCAATGTCAAAACCAGCAATATAACTCAGTAATGTTTGGCTCCAAGCCCCTTGCTCAGTATTCTAAACCAGATCATTCCTAATGGCATTGGTATCACTGAGTACATTTCTGAAAACATCTCCCCAAATCAGGGATGTTTTATAAACACGTGTCCTCTCCCTCTGCCGCTCCCCCTCTCCCTGCACAGCTGCCTCTTTATCAGAGGCAGCAGTGCGGGGAAGGGGGAGCGGGAGGGATAACATTGCATGTAACCATGAAGGTTAACCAATGAGCCAGGATCCAAGAGTCCTGGAGTGCTTGCAGAGGAGCAGGGTCCTGGGAGCTGACATGCGGCCCAGTTGGGCGGGGGAGGGGAGTGCCAAGAGTTGATGTGCAGCTCAGCTGGGCTGTGTGGGGAGCCAGGAAGCCCAGTGGAGAAGGCAGTGGAGGGCCAGCAGCGAGGGTCTGAAATGACCTCCAATGGTTTGGAAAAATCCCTCATCCAGGACCAGTCAGGTCCCGAGGGTGCTGGGCCAGGGAGGTGCAACTTGTACTGTATTAACTTTAAGCCTAGTTCCAAAGCAGAGGAACCTGAGAGTTGAAAAAAGGGAATATTCACTTCATTCCTAAACTATAACATTCTCTATAAAGAGCAGACATGATCTAGATTACTTTCTCTGAGATATTCCCAGACAGCCTACATATCCATTAGATGGCTACAGGTTTCCCACTCCTCCCCCAAGCTTTTGCTCGATAGCTTTTCAGCCTGTGATGGTAAATGCTTTGACAGACAGTTCATATGGGCACACAGTCGCATATCTGCACTGGTAGGTGTCTACTGTAAGCCAATGAGGCAATAAATATACCTGAAAATATGTATGAGAAGTACTGTGTCTACAAAAAATCTGCAGCTATGCTTCTGGCATTTATGCTGTATTTCCCCATTTTGCACATGTTCACATGTATTTCCAGCATTATGGGGATGTATCCTATTGCTCCATTCTACGTTGTATTGGGTTTATATGACTAGAAATTATCTGAGGCATGGAGAAGAAGCAAAATGGGCTAAAGCTTCAGTAGCCAAATTAACAGACTTTGCCCACTGCAATAAAATCCTTACTAATAAGCCAACTCATACAAAATCTTTCACACCTGACAGCTCTCTGGTTTCCTCTGGATCTCTGACTTTCTCTTCTCCATCTGAGTAACTCTGGACAATGCTGTTAGTAATGCAGGCTCTTGAGGACCCCATGTTCTCTTCTTCATCCTCACTGTCCGAGTCATGGACGGTAATAGGTGCTGCTTTTACAATAGGCTGAAGGCCACTGGGTCCTAAAACAAGAGAAGAATACTGATAGTTCATTTATACAAGGCAAGCAATGATTACAGGTCAAGGATGTTAACATTTAGTTTAACCAAGTAAGTGACTAGTTAACGGAATTTCCATCAACTAGTCGATTAGACAATAAGCGAAGGAGCTGGGAGCAGGGCAAGGAGTTAACCCTGCTGCAACTCTGCCTTTTAAATGTATTATGAGCCAGCAGGCTCTTAATACATTTAAAAGGCTGAAGCTGAGCTGGGACTACTGATTCCTGACTTGCACCAGGTCCCTCCCCACTGCGCACGAGTCTTTTAAATGTATTAAGAGCCTGCTGGCTCATAATACATTTAAAAAGCAGAGGTGAAGCATCTGGGACTGGGCATGAGCCAGAAATCAGCTGATTCCTGTCCCCACTTTTAAATCGACTCCCCTCACCACTGCCTCCTGCTTTCCCCCCCACGTTAAAGGTGGGGGTGAGGAGTGTCTAGTCAAGGAACTAGTTGACTATCCGATAAGCTTATCAGATAGTCAACTAGTCGCTTACATTCCTAATTACAGGGTATTAAAATGTAATAGTGCTTGACTGCTGAAGTTCTCCAACAGTTTGGAAATGCCACAGAAAGAGATGGATTTGGTTCATCCTAGCAGAACTCTGCACTCCTTTCTGTGGACCCTACCTAAAAACTCAAATGCTAAAAATGTGATTTAAAGATACAGCATTAAAACACAGTTAAGATCAACAAAGATGTTCTAATCTATCGGAAAAAAAGTCTGACACAATAGGATATAAGACTGGTTTTCTATGGCACTTCTCAGACTCGAGGTCACTGAAAAACTGACAATGCAGTAACTAAGGAGCTATCTTGGAAGACATTTTGTGCTCAGCCATTAGAATCTGTGTTACTGAGAGGACAAATATTAGCCAGGACATTGAAATTATCCTCAAATCCTTTTGAAAAAGCATCCAGGGAATATGCAACTTCCACCCAGGCAACCATCAGAGATGGGCAGAAAAGACTTCACCAGCCTTTCTCTCAGCAACATCGCAAAGTGTCAGTTTCAGCCTATGTTCTCATGCGGGGCACAACTTCTAATGCTTCTGGCTGTCAGGCCAGAATGCCACTACACTGTACCAAATGGGCACAATATATGGTACCTGTTTGAATAGTTCAACAAATGAACGTCGACGTAAGAGTACATTTTCAGGGGCTTTTTGGAAAAAAACACTCTGGTGAACAGATACCCTGCTTTTTTAAAACTACTTGCTGTTGGCACATCTACAATGCAATGTGCATAAAGCAATGGCTGGCATCAGTAATTGAAGTGATTTAATGCGACCCATAAATACAACTTAAATTAGTGCTTATACAAGATGCTCTGATAATAACACAGCCAAACGGGAGGAGTTAATAAACTGAAGTGGGAGGAGGGAGATCATAAATGCAAGGACTGGAAAAGCAAGCTAAGAATATTCATATCTTTTTGACCCTCTCATTACACTATAGTATAAAAATGAGACCTTAAAAACAATCTGTCACAGAACGAACAGCAGAAAAGGGGAGACTGTACAGCAGACTTAAATCACTAGTTTCTTCTGCTATTCTAGAGCCATTATTCAAATGTCCCACATGTTCTAGCTGAAAAAAGTCATGTCAAAATAATCATACTGAACTAATGAATCTTGCAACTGGGAGGATCTTGAAGTCATGATTATTTTCCAGGATCCAAATTACCTGCTTGCTCCTCATCAACATCCATAGGAATAACTGCTTGATTATGCGCAGTGGTCTCATTCTGGCCCTCCAATGCAGCCATTCCATCATCCTGTGCAACTTCCTCCATATCATTCAGTGCTGAAAAAATGAAGACAATAAAATGTGATGGTCAAGAGAAAGAAGAATAAGCACATAGCCCGATATACAAAGAAGGTTTTTAAGTGATAATCACACTGAAGTCACAGAAAGGCACTATAGGGCTATAGTATCACTAACAGTAGCTGTCTCAGTTGTTTCCTCACTGAATCTTACTGAAGCCTCCCAAGAGATTATTGGTTCTGTAACTTCTAGGGGATCCAGGCCAATTCTATATTCTTAGTTTTTCTGAAGTAAGTGGCTCCTTCAAGATTCTCCATTCTTCTTCCTGAAAATGCTTCCTTGCATTACCCTGGTGACTTCATCTGCTTGAGGACTTGCTTCATGCTGTTTTCCCCAAAACATCACTACAATTTCTGAGTAAACAGGATGGACACTACAAAGTAACATGATGCTATCCTAACCTCAACCTACTGAGCTTGAAGTACAAATCCATATTCTCCATGAAGAAGTACAGTGTACAATCTTTTAACTGCTGAGCTAGCATCTGTATTATTTTTAATCTTTAACTGACTTCCTCCTATGCCAGCATAGATCAACTATTACATTTAAAAAGAAGATCAAGTCTGGTCTAGAGATGTTAGGGTATGTCTACACTACCGCACTAATTCAAACTAACTTCAAATTAGTTAATTCAAAATAAGCTAATTCGAATTAGTGCATCTAGACCTAAAAACTAATTCGAATTAGCGTTTTGCTAATTCGAACTAGCATGTCCACATTGAGTGGACCCTGAACCAAAGTTAAGGCTGGTCAGAACCAGTGCTGGCAGGACATCATGTTAGGACTTAGAGCGTGGAGCTGCTGTCTCAGGCTAGACGAGGGCTGTGCTTAAAGGGACTCGACCCCCACCCCGGACAGACAGTTCTCAGGGTTCCCCGCTTGCTTGTCTACCTCAATGAGGGACAGCAAAGCAGTCCTGTCTTGGAGTGCCCTGAGTGCCCACACTTGGCACGTCACAGTACTCGGCCATCAGCATGACTGCACTTGCCGCAGGCTGCCATCCGGGGAGGGGGATCAATCGGGGGGCTGCAGGAGAGCTTCCATCCCGAGGAGCCCGCAGAGCCACCCCAGCCCTCCCCATCGGGGGATCGTACCCCAT